CCCGTAAAGTCTTTTGATGGTTTTTCTAGAAATTTTAGTTTCATTTTTTAAGAATTATGTACAGTAGGTGCACAAATCCGATCGGATATACTGTAAAGCCTTACACAGTTACACAATTATTGCAAACATAATTATAGTCTTGTACCATGTCATGTATTACATAAGAAATACAACATGAGACAACGACGCAACTACTAAAAAAACATATTTTAATTTGAAATACTGTATCTTCTGTAGATGACACATCTTGTTTATCAGTAACGACTTGGGTTTGTTTTTTTAACCTTTTCGAAGTCGCGCCTTAATTTTGCTACTTCGGCTTTAAGTTCGGTATTCTCTTCCATAGCATATTTTTGCTTACCATTTTGTGCGTTCTTCTCTTCGAGATCAATGATACGTTTTAATAAATCTAATTTGGATTGCATTATTAATAATAAATTTTATACCTGTATATATCCAGTTTTATTCAAAACTTTGAATATAATTATTATTCCGAAAAATTATTAACTTTTTGCGATCACCTTTGCCAAGAAAAATTCAACTTTCTCGACTTTCTCGATAAGAAAACAAAAATAATTGCTGCTAAATCATAAGCACATTAAGAAAAGGCCACCAGTACCCGATAAAATGCATATTGGTATCGCATTTTTAATCAACAGTTACATAAATGCACGGGAGTATACGGTCTCTCTGATGAAACATGCTTTCTTACACTATGTAAAAAATGTTATCATTATCAGAGCCAAAACTAAGTGAAGGGGCAGGGATATCTAAATACTCTATTATAGATTCGGAAAGCAGGTCTTTCACCATCAATCCTTGTCGCTCATGCGTTAAATACGAGTAAAAATGTTCATTAATATACGGACATAATCAGATAACTAGTTTTCTTCATATGATAATAATCCACATTTCCACGATCCGAGGAATTTCTTAATGATACTAGCTTTGAGGAACTATCAGTGATTGGCCAAAAACACATTACCAGAACTTCTTTATCGCGAATAAATGAATAATCAGTCATATTCACTACGAAAACTCAAAATGTCCACTTCAAGCTCCCAAAATTCTGGTTGGAAATCTGCAGTAAAGGAAGTAAATAAAATTCGAAATAATGTTGATAACATAATCCACAACTACCCCAAACTGTCAAAATTTTCTTTAGGAGGAAAGTGAGTGTGTCTCATGTAGGTTTCCTTAATATCTGCCCAATGTTGACTTGTATGGCCTAGTTTACCCTTTCAGATCGGGTCAAAGGTTTCAGTGAAATATTATAATATTTTCTTGACCGCAACGAATCAACTGGATACAAGTTGCATTATGGCAGCGGAAATATATACATTGTTGATATGGCCTACTAAGAACATGAATGTGTTGTTGGGCGCCTTCAAGATTATATCAAAGTTCCTGACGGTGGGGTTGCTAATGACCCTCCAATATATGTTGAAGGTCAACCATGTAAGATAATTCTCTCTAATTTCTGCTTGATTCTTGGATCGTAATAACATTTGACATTTTTCTATAGATCATTATGATCCAACTGCTGTTGGAAAAAACTAGCTCCAGACATTGCAATCTACCCAGATGTGACATATATTCCAAAATCCACTCTTCCACATTCTGGTCCTCCTGGAAATATACTGATACATCAAATTGTATACATTACTGTATAATATTTATTTGTGTTACTTTCTTAATATTGATATATTCACATAGAAAATCCTCATGGACGAATATTCTGTCAAGTAGATTCATTTCAGAGCGTCGCTCTCTGGGGTGAAAAATGCATGAATTAGATAGATGCACAAACAATACGTGCGATGTATATTAGGTATCAAACTTCATAGTATAAGAAAAGGAGGTCATCATCGGTCAATGGCAATATGTTTAACTACCTGTTTCATCATTTCGCGGTTTCATCACTAAGAGTTTTTTTTTTTAAGATAAATAAAATATATTAAAAAAATTATATAAATATGTTAAAATTTTTGAATTTTTTTTATCAAATTTTTTTTATTGATTATTAATTTTTTTGAAATTTTTTATTAATTATTAATTTAATAATTTAATAATTGTAATCAAATATTTATTTAAAAAATATAAAATAATAATAATTGCAATTTAATTTTTGTTTTAATAAAATAATAATAATTGTAATTTAATTTTTGTTTTAATAAAATAAAATTTATATTTAATTATAATTAAATATTTATTTTTTTAAAAAAAATAATTTTATTATTTTAATTAATTTTTTTATAATTTTTTTTATTTTATTTTATATTAAAATAAATAATTT